TGTTGTGTGCTAGTGAGTTGCAGACCAGCATCTCTCTTCTTAAGCAGGACAGCTAGCGACACCTGCCCCAGGCCAGCACCATCCACCGGCCAGTGACACTTTGCTTAGGCAATAGCTATAGCAGCTGTCCAAACCCAGCGAAAATGGCCATGTGATTCATTTTCCAAGAAAGAAGAATAAAAGCAGCAAAGTCCTTAAGCAAGCTAATACACTGCTCTGGAGAGTGGGGTGGACACAGCCCTGCCATCTAAATGCAGCCCCTGGGCACGTGCCATGACTATAATCCTGGTTTTTATCATGCTCACATATTAGGTCCCCTACTCACATAGATACCATCTCCAAATAGGATCAAAATTGCTTTTTGGAATGGCTGATTTGAAATATCATTAAATATCAAATGCAGTGTGTCTAAAAGGTGCATCAGTACTTAATCAAGCCCTGTAACACTAGGCTATTTAAAAACAACTGTCTGACCAGTCCCATATTTTCATTGGCATGATAATATTCCTCTGTGATTGTTTAGTAGAGCAACTACAAAAATGTGCTTCTACAGGTAAGTGTAACAATATTACATAATACTCCAAATATATATATCATAAATATATTATAAAAATAATACATAACAGTATTAAATGTAATAGTATGTGTTGTATATAGGTTTATATGCACATATATGTATTCTACTTATAACTAAGTCATCTTATTATTCAATTACATTCTCATGCAAAAGAACACCAGGATTCCTGTATCCTCATTTCTCCAGTATGAGCTTCACTTAGATTTCCCTGCTTTCTCTAAGGAAGGTAGCCTGCCAAAGCCAGTGGGTCCTGCCTGTTCTTTGCAAGTGCTGGGAATAAGCTATCTGGTCCAAAAGGATTTTGTTCTGGATGACAGAAGGGATTTATTGTTGTGGAGTTTAGTAATAATAATAGCAGGACTCACAACAGTAATGTTTTAAATTGAGGCATCTGCTTCAAATTATTATAAATTCTTTGGTTTATTTCTCTTTCAAAACCCAGGTATAAGATTGCAAAATCTAAAGTAAGTAAGGTTGTTACTGATGTATTATCATTAATTTTAAGGTAAATCCTGAAAGCCATTTTCATCAAGGGAAAGCAAAATGAACCAGCATGTTGAAACCCATTTAGTCAGTCAGGAATGTAAGGCTATGCCAGCAAATAAAACTTAACTCTCTCACTGGATAAAAATTAAGCTAACATTGAATCATGCAATTTACTATGAGGATACAATTACCCCATATAGCTTGAATGCTTACAGGCAGCGGGGCACATTAGGGGTTAGTGAGGTCACAGCAAAAGTGTCCTGGCAGGCAGGGGGTAAGGTGTTGCAAGCCCAGTGCTTTGCAGGAGCCAGGCAAATCCCAGCAGGGAGGGTGGGCAGGTGCAGAGCAATGTGGAGAGTGGGGACTGTGAGGGCCAGCAACATTCTACTGCACACCGAGCACCCAATACTATAAGCAAAGAAATGCTTGCAGATGGAATGATACTGCTTGTGATTTGCCTCAAAGCAGTTTGGGGCCAAGTGGAAAAGGGTAACAGGAGGGAGACCCAGAAATGAAACAAGATTGACCTCAAGGTGATAGTTCTTGAGGCTGATGATGGATATAGAGAGTTCATTTTACTAGTCCCATATCCTTTATCCTGTACAGATTTCTATTTTTACATAAATAAAAGGTAAAATTCATTTTTTAAAAATTTTTTTTGTCTTTTAAAATACACAGAAGGGTAGGTCCTTAGGGTCACCAATTTTTAGCCTCTGTGGTCATTGAGAATACGCGTGCACATTAAAACAGTTGCCATGAGCCAGGGATACAGCTTGGCAGCATAAACGCCTGCTTGGCAAGTGCATGGTTCTGAGTTTGATTCTGGTACCAATAAATAAATAAATAGTTGCCAGGCTTTGTATTAGACCACAAGAATGAAGACAAATAGGAAGTCTGCTCCTGTCATTAATAAGGAAATCCCCCAGTCACAAGGAATGATGCCTTCCGTTATGTGTCAGGAATTTGTTCATGACTGTGTATTATTCGAAATATAGAAGAGCTGGGCCCTACGTGTGACACTTAGACACCCCCAGGTACACACAGATACGTGCACCCACATAAACACAAATTATTATGTGGTATCAGCCAGATGCTGAGATGCTCTAGACAATTAATTCCTCCTTAATGGTGAAGCATCTTTTTATTGTCCTCTTAGCTTAACTGTTGAATTCCCAGATGTGAAGATCAAGTTTTAGTCACCTTTGTACTCCTAGAACATGATAAGAACTTAATAAATATTTGTTAAATTCATTAACTAAACAACCTTCATGCACTGGAAGCTTCACTTTAACAAATCATAGCAAGTCACTGTGAAAATGAGTGAAAAGAAACTATTAAAATAACATGAGCAAAATGTGAAATGTAAGCAATGGAAAAGCAACATGCTTCTCTGGTTAAAGAAGTAAATAAGATGTAAGTGTGTTTAGTAAACAGCCTTTCTGGGATTGACTTTGAAGTATCCCTCACATACACAAGTCCCCCATTTGCTAGGGCTTTCACACTCTCTGGGATTACAAAAGAGATCAAGTCCCCATGTCTGATCTGGGCATCACCGTGATGGCTCCTTTTCTCTTCTAAGAACTCCTTGAGCCCAAAAGTGTCTTAAGCCCCAGGGCAACTGATCTTACAGAACGATGCCAGCATAAGGTAGACAGTCCCTAGGCAGGGGCAGGGCAATGTCCCACTTGTGAGGACATTTGGAGGTGGGTGGGAGAGAATCCAGTGGCCACACACAGGGGGAGCAAAGTGCCCTTCATCGAAAGCTAGTGTGGTCGGCAGGCAAGGATCCTGGTCCAGCACTACTTGTGAGCTCCCAAACCAGCTCCTAAAATTTAGGCGAGCAGGATGCAGGGGAGAGTGATCGGTTAAAGGAAAGGTGGACGCAAGCAGGATACAGGGCAGAATATCACCACCCTTACACTCAGATGGCTTCCTTGGTCCCGCTCTTCTCTGTGCCTCTTTTCTCCTGTGTTGTAGTCAGGGGTTGTACACAGAGAACAACTAGGATTAGGACATGGAGCTTATAATAGTCACCGGAAGTTAACACAGGAAAATGCAAGAAATCCATCCGCAACACCAAAGACATAGATTATTTAGTCAAGAGCCTAAACCCCACAGCAATGTCCCACATGAGTCCTGATAAAAACTCAGAGCTCAGGACAATGCCTCCCACGAGTCCAACTGGAAGGACTCACGCCAGTCTCTTTTATGGATCCGTGCCGGGAAGACCCAAGGGTCAGCAGTGGAAGCTAGAAAGTCCCTGCCAGCAGGTGAAGGAGCTGTGCTAGTGGGATGAGGGTTCTACACTGGAGCTGAGAAGTCACACTCACAACAAAGACCAGGGCTATCCTGAAAGGCACCACAGCCATCCTCAGCGACACGGAGGCTCCCCGAGCTCCTCTGACAACAAGCACAGTCGGGAACGTGCCAGGAAGCAGCGTGAGGAGGTCACCCTGGAGACCAGGCAACACATGTCTTCCCCTCCGGAGCCAGGAAGCACTGCTCGATGTGATGACCAAAGCTTCTCCAGGAGAACCAACAGCTCAGACAGCAACTGTAGGAGAACCCACAATGCCTCCTTAACGCCTCAACCTTCAACACCTCCCTTCTTCTCCACCTATTTATCCTGGCAACCCTCCTCAGGTGGAGCATCTTTGCTCAATGCATGCTGATGTAATCCAGCTGGTGTTAAGTTGACCACCAGTTCTCAACCCATAACATCCTTCAAAGCAAAACAGCCAGTCCTAGGCCAGAAAGCACACACACCACAGAACCATTTCCCTGTGACTAGGAGTCACTAGAAACATTCCTCTTTTCGTGTCTTGGATCAGCCTGACTTGGTGACAGCATAAGTGACAGAATAATTCAGTTGTGACAAGGGGACACACTTGTCAATAGGCCCATCTGTCTACTGTCACTCTCCATTCCTTCAAATGCTTGTGGGATTGCCGCTACTGGGAACCTTAGAAGCAGAGGGAATTGTTCTCACTCGCCATACTCCAGGTGGGGTAAAAGGCTGGCCAACAAGACCCGGTGCATTAGTACAGAAATAGCCACCAGGAAAGCAAGGGACAAATCTAGCCCTTCCAGCTCCCAAGGTAAGTCAGCCCCTCATATTCTTTGTGCTTTAGAACTATATAGAATGACAGTAAGAAATGTGCGTGTCCTGCAATTTTTGCACAAATGTCTGTAGCTATCATAGAGATAGCAATGGGATAATAAGGAATGAAGATGAGTAAAATTCATAAATTTAAGAGCTAGTGAAGCAAAACTACGTGGCCAAGCTGCACATGGTGACACGCGCTTATAATTCCCACACTTGGGAAGCTGAGGCAAGAAAACTGCCACAAGTTTGAGGCCAGCCTGAGCTAGCAGCAAAAAGGAGGAGGAGGAGGAGGAAGAGGAAGAAAAGGAGAAAGAGGAGGAGGAGGAAAAGAAGGCAAAGGGGGAAAAAGAGGAGAAGAGGAAGAAGAAGAAGAAGCAGCAACAGCAATAGTAGCTACTTGCTCATAGTAATTTCTTACTCATAATAATACTTTGTTACATGTTGGGTCAAGGCCCCAAAACTACATAGCCCCATGAGTTTCATTTTATGATTTGGAAACAAATGAGTAAAGCAAATCCTCGATGTTATGAATTGACTTTTGTTGACAGCTCAGGTACCCTACTGAAAGCCAACTGCGTCTGGAGGTAGCCCCTCCTGGTCTGCCTCCCTGGGTCCCTCCCCTGTACATCATCCAGGCCACTCAGCTGTCTCTGCTGTTTTCCTCTTTCTGTCTCTGGCTCTGTCTCTTTCTCTCTCTCCCCCTCTCCCACTCCCTCTCCCTTTCTCTCTCTCTCTCTCTCTCTCTCTCTCTCTCTCTTTCTCTTTCTCTTTCTCTTTCTCTTTCTCTTCCTTGGTTTTGTTTGTTATATACTGGGGCTAATACCCTGGGCCTTCACAATGAACTACATCCTCAATTTTCATTCATTAATTAATTAGTCTGTTAATTTATTTTGAGACAGTCTCACTAAATTAATAAATTGCTCAGGCTGGACTCCAACTTGCAATTCCCTTACCTCAGCCTGCCAGAGTGCTGGGATAACAGACCTCCACCTCCAGCAAACTGTGGAGTCTCTGAAGGCAGAGCCTTATGTCCTGTGTGTTCTCCAGACTTAGTGCCTGGAGCCTTAGGGGTGAACAGCCACACTTGGGAAAGATTCTCCTCATATGTTCTGTGTACCCCTGCTGCTCCCTTCCAAGGAGTTTAACATGTGTCACTGGGGTCACTCAGCATCTTTGGCACTGTTAAAATACAAGTTCAACAAGGCAGGTGCCTTTGTGCTAATCTGGGTTCCCTGCAACCAGCGAGGAACTGGCAGAAAGGATGAATGACAGTCACCCAAACAACACCCAACTAACTAGAGAATGTGTAAAATAGCACCAGGGTTCAAAGATGCATTTAAAAACATGAAAAGGGAGCAAATGGCTGATGACAAGAAGACAGAAAAAAATCACCTCCACTTTCACGGGTTATGTTGACTATGCCAGTTATCTCCTGATGCCCCACCAAGGCTGACATGCAGGTCATGGAGGTCATCCCTGTTTTCCGAGACATCTGAAAGCCAGAGTGGCCCAACGACCTTGTCTTTGAGACTGCTCATCAGCCTGTGGCAGCGACAGCTACACAACCAGGGCTGAACGCTGAGTGGGTGTGGTGTCCCCACAGTGCCTATGAGCCCGTCCTGCCTCTGTGGCCCTCCAGGCAGAGACGTGTCCCCCCTGAACCACGCAGAGGCCTCCCAACCCATGGTGGAGCCACTGGCACACTTGGTAAAATCATAAATGTCTTAATCCCCATGGTTCAAGCAGGAGACAAAGTGCCAACAGGCAGGAAGCCCAGAGCCCGGGGTCCTTCTAACAGCTGTGTCGAGATGCATCCTCTTACATGTGCGGGCCAACAGCTCCATCAGCCTCCTCGAAGCTTATCTTCTCTTTGCCTTGTTATCACTGGTTCTTTTGCTGGCTCAATACAGCAAAAGTCCTGAGAAAGGAGAGCCTGATTTCAAATCTGGTTGGCAGCGTGTGGGTAGAGAAGACCAAGGCCCACATGCAGCTGCTGTTTTTGCTCCTGTGCACTGTGACAACCGAGTCTACATACACACAGGCATGTGTGAGCACACTCTTGCACCCAGACACACGCAGCATGCCAAGGCAGACTTTGCGGTGCCAGGCCTGCACTCCAAGCAGGTGGAGCAGAAAGCAGCCGTTGGCAGGTGCAGACGGTAACAAGAGGCACAGCATGGGGTCCAGATTGACACTCAGAGCTCTTGGCATAACTGCCCTGCAGCCCTTTTGCTGGAGAACTGGCAGACTGCCCTAGCTCTCCCCAAAGCGGCCAATCTCAGACCTTCTATGGAAAAAGAAAACTTAGAGAAAGTCATTCACCTCTGTTTTTGAGCTACATCAAAATGCCATATAGTTATCTCAAAATGAAGTGTTTCCACATTAATATGACCAATAGTATGAACATAATAGGAACTATTTCCTCATGTGATCCATGACTTCAGTCTCCTTAAAAGTATCAGTTGATATAACTTGAAGAGACCTTGAGCATGATTTACTCTGATGCTTTTACAGCAGAGGAAAATGAGCCTCGGAGCAGTTACATAACGTGCAGCATCACACCTCTTATGAGTGACCAAGCTCTGCTTGCCCTGGTTTCCAAGTAGCTTTCTTTATTCTCCTCCATTCTACCCTAGTGGTTCATTTCATATCCATCATTAGCTCCCTGAAAGAAAGCAGTAATATCCAAGCTGCAATTTTGTAACATCACATCCATAGCTAAAAGAAACAGGCTGTAATCTCACGAATGGAGTTGTGTGCTCTGACGTAGCACAGGACAGAGATGGCCTGGGTCAGGAGACCTATAGATGGCTTCAGAAATAAACAAGAGAAGCAATAACTTCCTAGTTCTGATCTGGCTAAGCACTGGTACTCTACAGTTAGAAAGTCTGGGCTGAGGTGCTGAGTCCACTACTTAATAGCTGGGTGACCTTGGGCAGGATCCTTAATCTTTGTAGACCTCAGTTTCTGCATCTGGCAAACCAAGATAAAAGTCACACTTGCTTCTGTGATTTGTACAAAGACTCTGTGAGATAAGATGATAAAGCCACTTATCACATGCCAATTGCTTACCTAGTGAAACATTCATTTTTCTTCAAGTCTGGTTTTTAACATACTCGTATACAACAAGACCCATTATTCACCTAGGTAGCAATTCTAGACGCTACCAAAGCTGATTTCTGAAGGTGGCTGATTTGAAATATCAATCTTACTGGCCGAGTTCCTGAAATATGTATCAACATTTATAGGAGCATCTAAGACATTGCGTCATCTTGATATTTGTTATGGTTTAGGCCTGGAATGTGCCTCCCCCCACCAAATTCTAATGCACCTAAGGGTGAGGCTTTTCCAGGATTGTAAAATCATATCCTCAGGGGTGGATTCTTCCCCCTGGTGAGTTCAGTCACTGAGTGTGCTCTGGGCAGGGAAGATCTGAAAGAAAAAGGCATCATTTCTGTCCACCATGACACTGACAATTTTCCTGCATTTGACTCTGCCAACCAAGGTCTGAACCTCCTGAAACTGTAAGCCAAAATAAACCTCTCTTCCTTTACCTTGTGAGTGTCGGGTATGGTCTTGGCAATGGAGAAGTGACCAAGACGCGATGTCAATGAAGGTTACCTACTGTCATCAATATCATCATTACCAACATCTCCTCACCATCTTTCTCAGCGTCCCCATCTTCCTCCTCACCGCCACAATCCCAACATCACCACCGACCTCCTCTGCCTCTTCAGCCTCCCCACCATCATTTCAAACATCCTCCTCATCATCATCTTCAGCAGCAGGAGCATCAGCTGGTTCCCAGCACTGACTCAGCAACCAGCTAGGAATCCACATCAGAGATTAGGCTTGGCATTTTTTGCAGAGCATGAGAACACAAAGCTACATAATTTCCAGGTGTAGACATTGTAGGAACTCTAGAAGCCACAGCGTTACTTTGTTTCCTATGTTAGATAGATCGGGGAAGCTTTAGATATCAGAAAGGGCTCCACTTTTGCTCTACAAGGAGACTCTACTTGCTGTCTCAAAAAAAGTCAGCCTCTTCTTTCTGAAAAGTTCCCTAATGGCATATTATCTCCTTCACCTTGAAACTTCTCACTTTGTTTTTACATGGAATGTATTCTGTAAGATAAAACATCACAGACTGTAACTCTGTCAACACCCTTAGTTCTGGGAGCAGCAGATTCATAGCCAGCAGACCCAAGCCTACTCACGGACCTTCTCTCTCTGATTCTAAATTGAAACAGGCTTTGCATAAAAAAAAAAAAAACCCAGAAATTTATGGTCCCTAAATCCAGTAACAAGGTATATAAAATGTGGACACAAATAAATATGGGTATAGCATCTAAAAGTGATTTTTAAATTATTGACAAAATGAGAGAAAGAACATTGTTTTATACCTTTAACAGACCCAAGTGATCATTTCCTTTTTAAAGTGTTACTTTTCATCTTATTTGAAACGTATTAATCACCCAAAGCCTAGATTAAAAGTATTTTAGCATGATCTCAGTGATGAAAATATTTACTTCAAACATCTTCCTGACTTTTAAATTCCAACCCTTTGAAAATCATAGACAGTCTTTGTATCTCACTGTAAGGCCCCAGAATATAAACTACTGCCCTTTTTTACCCTATCAGTTTCACTAATCCCACTTGAACCAGATATCAGGCCCAGAGCCAGCTTTCCTGAAGTTATCTTGTGCTTGTTAGCACTTTGGATTTGTCTCTGCCAGAGACTACAAAGAACTAGCATATCTGTTTAAATTCTTGAGATAAAAATGTAATAAAAATCGTAGGGTTTTTAACAGCAGAGATGGCAGCATTTCCATAATAATATGTAAAAGGCTCTGTGCTTACTAAATGGACCGTGGTGAACTTAATCCTGAAAATAAAGGTTTTTTCCTTCTTCTTCTTTGTCTTGGTACAGGACTAGTGCTACTTGCTTGTAGTGTAATCCCAGCCTCCTTAGGACGAGGGTCCAGGCAGCAGGCTTGCAGTGCCAGGGCGGAGGCTGTCAGCTAGTACAGGCATTCGCCAGATGTTGAAGCCAAAGGCGCCCAACACCACTGATCGTTACAGCTTTCAATCACCTCATTTAGAATTTACAACAAACTGAGCAGAAAGCCATTATTCCACCTTCAATATAAAGTTTTCCTCAGGCTACAAGCAGAGTTCAGCGGTAGACTCACGCACCATCTGCTCCAAGCTCGAATCACTCTTTTGTGGACTTTCCACCAATGGAAACAAGCCCCAGAAAAAGTCCAGGAACACGAGGTGTCATTTGTTATATCACTTGGGGAATATTAAAATCTGATACCTCCTCGAAAATGGACCTAGACTGTAATTAAATGAAATAATAACAAATCATAATATAAGGCATAAAATGAACAAACATTATGAATTAATCATACTTAGACAATTACAACCCATATGGCTTGTTAAACTCAATCTGCTACCTGTAGCGACATCGATTGCATAGCCAGTGCTGCAGCTCTTTCCCCCCAGGATGTAATTACTTAATTTTGTGAATGAGAAAATGAGATATAAAAGGAAATGTGTTCACAACTTAGTGTGTGCTTACCTCTCCCACACTGGATCAAAGGCACACCTGCCATTCACAGCTCAAAAGACTGCCACATTTCCTTCTTGAAGACAGCAGTATCAGAAACAAATGTTCTTGTTCTCCTTCTGCCCCATCTGTCCTTTCCACCCTCTCTTCTTCAAGTTATCTACAGCAAGATGTTTGGAGAGTAGACATTCTGTGCACTTTAACTGGTGAGGGGAAGACAATACAATTCTCCTGTCTAATTTGAAACTACTGTCAAATGACATCAACTCACTGGGAAAAGAAAGCTCCATGGTTTATCTCATAAAATCAGTGATGTGACCCAATGACTCTCCCATTTACCAAGGCCACTGTGGATCTTCATCAAATTCTATAACTTACCTACATGTGAATTTCATTACCCATAAAATAAATACAGCAATATTATTTACCTGTACAGGACTTGAAAGAATTGAATTAAATGCACTCTATGAGAGGCCTACCACAAATTAGTGTTCACAAGACGTGAACATCTTTTCTGAAAATACCATGGGAGTTTAACTCTTCAAGAAAAAAATAAGAACAAAATTTGCTAGTTATGTTCTTCACTCTGGATGTAAGTTACCCACCCATCTATAGTGAAAATGACACTAGAAAAGTTAGGGGACCACTCTGGCTCAGACCAGCCTAGAGGTTTGTTGTAGTTCAAATTCATCTTGTCACTCACCACTAAGAGAAGCCTAGAGAACCCCACAGCGCCCCTAGGTCCCACTGACCTGTGCTCTAGGCTGGGAACAAAGGGCCTGCTGAACTGGACTTCCCCAAGCAACTCTTAACAAACAGCTGTGGGAGGAACTGCCCCCTGACTACCAGCAGGAAGTCTTTCTCTCTGCCACCCACTGCTGTCACGCCTAACCCCAGCCCCAGCCCCAGCCCCAGCCTCCCCTTCCCCAGCCCAGAAACCAGGTTTTAGTGTCTATGCACAATGACAGTGCCAGATCTACTGTCAGATGGAAAGAGGTGGGATGAACCATGTGCCTCTGACTCCAAAGGGGCCTGCAGAATTAGTCTCCATGAATAAGCCTTAATTAAGCAATTTTCACAATCCCCAGAAAAGGAATCATGTGAGGCCTGTTTTACCACTTATCCTTTTATAATCAGGTACTTCGATAGACAAAAATTCCTAGGTTAGCTCTTTGGGCCAACTTGGATTACAGCAGCTACCTTGTTGTGTTCTAATTAGCTGTTTATACCTGTCAGGGAGCCCAGAGCTTCCTTAGCTAGCTCAAGCCTGGACTTGGGGGTGGGGGGTGCAGATTAGGATGGAGGGAGGTTCCCTCTGGGAGGGGACAAGCCCACACTTTTTGGGTCCTGATGATCACTGTATCAAGAGGTAATTGCTTCACCCAGCCCACTCTTCTAGACCCCCCTAAGGCATAGCAAAGACAACTTACATAACATTGGAACAATAATTTTGCTAAGAATTTGGAGAGGGAAAAAAACAGAAAATGAGAGTGCTGACTTCCTAGAGCCTCAGTTTGAATCTTGCTGTCATTTCTATGCCTTGTGTAGGTCCCTTAATCTTCTGATTCTCATTTGGGAAGGAACAAATTCAAAACAAATATGTAAAATATTTAGCCTACAGTCTGGTACATGCTAGGAACTAAAAAATGTTTACTTTAACTTCATGATTTTGTTTGCTTGTTTTCTGTGTAGCTTATTCTTCTCCGGAAGCAAGCTGCTATTGTTCTCACCTGGATTGTTAAAATGGCTCTTAACTATGCTCCTTTAGTTTTTCTTTACACATCACCAGAGTCTGTGCACAACAGAGCAGTCACAAGGATCATGTACATTTCCTTCTGCTGCTGTACTATAGTACCAAATATTAGTAGTTTAAAACAACAGTTTTAAACTGCAGTTCTGGAGGTTCTGTATCCCAGGTGGATCACACTGGTCTGATAGGAAGGTGTCAGCAGCTGTGCTCCTTCCTGAGGCTCTGAGGCAGAGTCCATTTTATTGCTTTTTCCACTCCTTGATGCAGGGGTCCCTTCCTCCATTGTCACAGCCAGAGACGTGGACCGCACCTTCTCCACTTCTGCCACTTAAAAGGACCCTTGTGATTACACGAGGGCCATCCGGATGACCCAGCGGAGTCTCCCCATCCCAAGGTCAGCTGTTTAGTGTCTTATTCTATTTACAAACTTAGTTCTTTCCTACAAGGTAATATAGCATATTCCAGGATCCGAGGACTAGGGCATGAATCTCTCTGGGGGCAATGATTCTGCGTAGCAGAGTGATTCTATTAAAGTGGAAGGCAGATCACACTCCCTATGCCCAAGGCTCTGTGCTCAGTGCGGAATTCCCCTTCTTTACCACGGCGGGTCAGACCATCTGTTCCTCTCCTTTCCTCCGAGCTGCTCCCCACTCGATCTGCCAGCCATCATGGCTTCTTGCTCTTCCCAGTGAACACTCCAGGCAAGCAGCCATTCAGGATTTCTGCACCGCAAAAAGCACATAGCACACACACAATTATTCAAAGGACAAATAAGTATATGAAAATACACTCAGCATCATGAAATTATTAGCGAAATAACTTCATTAAAAGTATGACACAGTACGAAGTGTCTAAAATGAAAAAGACACAAACTACCAACTGTTTGCAAGGATGTGAAGCCATGAAGACCCTTGAAAATTGCTAGAGAAGTAACATGTTATAACTACTTAGAATTCTTAGCAGCATTTACTACAGCTGAACATATATATATACATACCCTAAGACCTAAGAATGTAACCTTATGTTGTATTTGTTTATTAATCTCCATTTCTCATAGACTGAGTGAAAAATCAGGCATTCTATGGTACAGTTGATCCTACAACATTAACTAGCACACAGCAACACTCAGTGGATATCTGCTATAGGAGTGAGAGAAAGCATCTCAGAGCACCCTTTATGGAATCCAGCTGAGCCCCTCCAGGTTCATCCACCATCCTGATGGCTCTGATCCTCCTATTTCCAGCTGTATTAGTCACTTTTCCATTTCTGGGACACAACAGAGACCCCCAAAATTTACAATAGAGGAAGTTTACTTTAGTTCATGATTTCATGGGATTGAATATGTTCAGAGACACTAAGGCATGAATATCATGGCAGAAAAACATTGCACAGCAAGCCTACTTATTTGATGGCATCAGGGAAGCAGAACTAGGAAGCATCATTAGAGAGGAAGGGTGAGGGGCCAGCTATAATACCCAAGGTCACGCCTCCATGACCCACACACACACACAAAGTGTGTTTTCTATCCTTCCCCTGGGCAGCTCCCAAATCAATCAAGGCGGTTCAATCAAACTTAACTATAAGCCAACTTGTGAGGTTCCTTGCTGGATGTTTTTAAATAATTTATTAGGTTTCTTTACAATATGCTTTTTCCCCTACAAGCCACTGTGATGGCTGATACACTGTTTAACTTGAGAATTGAGAGGCTTATAAATTTAACTAAGTGATTCAGCAGAGGCCAGGATCCTCACTTTGTAAACATCCTGAGCCCTAACAAGAAGAAGACACAGAGAGGGTATGGGTGGGTAGCCTCACGCAATCCAAGGGAGAAAAAGAGACTTGTCCTGTCCCCTCCCCTTTTGCTCTTGCTGCTTTTGCTGTCTTCTGCTGCCTTGGAGGGTTGCCCCTGTGCCATGCCACCTTGCCTTGGAGACAGAAGATAATGGACAGAAACCTCTACAAACTGTGAGCTAAATAAACCTCTCCTTGCTTAATCTTGGGTGTTGGGTGTTTGTCTCAGCAATGAGTAAAAAGTAACCAACACAGCCAAAAAACCCTGGTTTTGCATTTGAGTTTGCCTAGCACCTAGAACAGGTCTCCCAAAAGATCTCAGTGCCTGGGTGAGTGAGCAAATAAAGAGATTCTCAAACACTTTATTTCTACTGAAATAAAGAATCTGATGTGGAGCAAAGATCGGTGTTGCCCAAGATCCATAGCTCTTAAGTAGTGAAGTCAGATTTCAAAAACAAGCACTGCGGCTGTTGAGCTCAGAATCATCACCTCTGTCCCACACAGCCGTTGCCTCTGGGGGACTACAGCAGTGGCCAAGTGCCCACAGAAGTGATGGCAGAACACCAAGAATGCCTGAGCATTTCTGATTCCCAGCTGTGGCCCTGGCTTGGGCTCCAGTATGGGAGTCCTGAAACACCAGGAAATACGCTATATTAAAACAATAAAATACTATTTTTCTCCATGTTGCCATGGATATGACAGTCCTGTAAGTGCTCTTAAAAGTCTCTAAGGTCACTGAGATGTCTTATTTTTCTGCCTGTAAGAAAAATAACAGTATTACAGCTGAGAGTGCAGTATAGCTACCAAAAATTCGCAAAAAAAAAAAAAAAAAGATCCCACTTGCCTCTCGCTGGCATTCTGCCCTGATTCCATAGAACGTAACTTCTGCCGTGACTGATCCAAAGGGAAAGAAATCTTTCCAGACTGAACATGTGTGCTTTATTTCCAATTCCCAGGAAAGAGATATGTGCTTCCTGTTCAAACCCTAGACTTGTAGAGAGGCCACAAAACATTTTTCTACCTTCTGAGAACACAATACTGAGGGCAGGGAGGAGCTGGTCATATGATAACTTGAGCCAACATGTTCCATGCAAATATTACTCCTCGCAACTAAACATGTTTGAAGTTTGCTACAGTGCCACTGATAAGAGGCAGAGTTTTAAAGTAAATTTGATAAGAGCTCACACCTGCTAAGAAGGCTATCATCAGCAAAGCATGTGGAGAGAGATAAACCTCCTGGCAAATATCCCAGGACCCAAAAGGTCCTTGTCCAATAGACAATTTCCCATGAAATCTCATTCTTAGAATCACCTAAACTGTCTAATCGCTTCTATATGGTAAAATACAGCAAGCATTTGTAAAAGGAAACACCAAACTCTCATTGCTTTGGAGATGCCAGTGGAAGTAAATAACTGGATAATACTACATTACTGTGTAACATGGACACTACAATTAATGGCTAAAGAAGTGTCCTAATTTAAATCCTCTTTCAAAATAAAACATCTGAAAGAACGGAACGTCGTGTGGCCCAACACTTAAAGAAGCTTGTGCAATGTGAATCACTGGAATCCAGAGAATAAGAATCTTCATTTCCACACGCCCCTATCCCATCACACGTGCTGTGCCTCTAGTTTAGAGGCATTTTACATACACTGTGATTAACATAAACTTATTTTTAAAAATTTATCATTCATCCAAAATGGAAAGGAAAAAATTAAATAATTATGACTTTAAAGGTAAAAAATTAGAATTTTATCTTCAAAACTTTTCAGAATGAACAGGCCACCCTGTACAAGTACCTTGAAATGGCCCCTTACATGTTACTATGTAAAGACACAGTCTTCCTAAGGAGTTCACTGCTGATACTTAGGATTCTGACATTTCCTTAGTGGTAACTTGAGTACTATTGTTTTGGCAATCTCATTGTCCATTGCTTAAAAACAATAAACTATCACTCTGAAAATTTATAATAAAAGGGAAAACTTAAGCTTTTATTCAGTTTTTATTTCATGAACTATATTTCATAATAGCCAACCACTGCTAATGGATGAAAACCTTTTTGATAGAATTCCAGCTAATATATAATGCAAGAAAAAAATCACTTCAAGTAATAATTAAGAAAATAAATATCAATGGATGCTAAGAATGAAAAACTGATAAACCACTAGGTGGTCTCCTCAGATGACTTCTAGCCCAAAGCAGAAAACCGCATCATAATGGAAGTGTCTGGCAGTCACCATCTGAACTCACTGACTGACCATGGCACTGCTGAACTTGGGTAGTCCCAGTGGTGTTTGCCTCCTGGTATGTTGCAATATGAAGAAAAGGCTTTAAACACTGCCTCCAAGAATATTAAAACTCTTAGAACGGAAAGAAATACAAATGACAGAGGGATAAATTCGATGATACAGTGAGGATAACATCAGGAGAACTGCTCCAGACTTAGACGCTTAAAAGATAAACAACCAAAGGAAATTGGGGGTACTTGGGGGGGTAATCTAAACCAAAGAACTAAAATTGGGAGGACAAGTGAGAAAAGTTGAATATAGACAAGATACTAACCAATACTAAGGAATTATCATGAAGCATCATCAAAGTATTGCAATTTTATAAGGCCGTATTTTATTGGTATAGAGAAGCACATTGCAGTATTTGAGGGTAAAGTCACAGTGTGTGGATTTTTTATTCAAGTTTTTCAATAAAAAAAGAAGACTGGTAAATCAAATACGGAAAATGCGAAAACTCTCGAGATGAATTACGTGAGGATCCATCACCTATTGATACTCCTTGAATATATGTTTGAACTTCTTTATGGTAAAACAGTTCAAAAACTGGACTAAATTCCACTTTAATTTCTTGAAGCAATAAGAAATACTGGAGTAAAACTTTAAAAGAAAATGGGAAAGCTAATTCTTAGACCCCACTTTACTACTGACCCTGAAATTTCACTTTCAAAGAATCTTTTCTGCCTTTCAAGTTCGTTAATAATATGAACACTACTAAAATGGAGTCATAAAATTTATAGATATTCCTGAAATATGTAGTTTTTATCTGAGAGTTTTTATAAAGAATAATTGTTCTCTCTAGCTGACCAGTAGATCATTGGTGAAATGAAAAATGCACATGTACTGAGCCATTAGAAAAATCTAAAATTATATTCAATTCTCACCCAAAATGAGCTTTCAAGTTCTCTGAAAGTTTAATGCTTCCCACACATCAGAGATTAAGAGCTATAAATATGTCCACTGTAACTTTCAGTGCTTTAGTTTTACAGATGTTTAAAACTAAATATTTTAAACTGGAGACAAAAATGATGCCAGATAGTTGATCAGTTAAATTTTGTGTCTGTTTTATAAAATTATACACAGAGGAAGTTGCAAAAATTTTACCTTTTGAGTATGTGTTCATGATTCAACATCTTTTATTTCACTTTAATACACATGATTGCACTACAGGTTTCCAGTTACATCTAATTGTGTACACACTTCCCTTGACTTAGGTAGTGCTGAGCTAGGTGTTGGTCTTCATGTTTAATAAAAAACACAGGAAGTAGATCCTACCAATGCACTAACAATGTGATTGAAAATTTCTCATTTGTACTTTGGTTTACCTTTGAAGTCCCAATAAAAATGCTAACCCTAATACACAGAAATACAGCAGGAAATAGGGAATTATAGACCAGATATAATGGGAAGAAATTCTTTATAAATTCAAAGGGAAATAGGACTATAAAATAAGTAGGCAAAATTAGTTATTCCATAAAATAGCTTTAAAATCAATCCATACAACTGAGGTACCTATTAAAAATAAATATAAACCCATTTACACAGGAAATAGTACTGAGAATCAACAATTGGGATCATATCAGTCAATCAGTTAAAAAGCTTCTGCACAGCAAAAGAAGTGGCCAATAGAATAGGAAAAAATTTTGTCATTGATTCCTCTGGTAGAGGACTAAAGTCGAGAACATATAAAGAACTCAAAAACTTAGACGCCCCCAAAATAAAAGACCAATGCAAAAATGGGCAAGTAAAATCCAGAGGCACTTCACAGAAATAAAAATGGACAATAAATATATGAAAAATGCTCATCATCATTGGCCAATGAAGAAGTACAAATTAAAACAACACTGGGGTTCCATCTTGCCCCAAAAAAGAGTGGCTTAGCATCAAGAAATCAAATAATAACAAATTCTGGTGAGGCTGTTATAGGGGAAAGGAACTCTTGTGCACTGCTGATAGGAACATAAACTATTATAATCACTGTGGAAATCAGTGTGGCAATTCCTCAAAAAAACTAAAACTACAAAGTTCATTTGGCCCAGCTATTTCCCTTCTAGG